TTCAGCTGGCAGGACCTGGCTGGGTAGCCTTCGCGGCCACGCGCGGGAGGGAGGTCTGTGACGGCCCTGGATTTTCGGTTGGGCCGCCAGTTGCGCAGTGTTTTGCGCGGAAACACTGCCTGCAGGTCTATGCTATGCCACAGCAATCTGACAGCAATCTGACAGGCTGCTGCACTCCCTTAAAAGAATCCCAGTTGCTCAGTGGTGTCCCTGTTCCTTAGATTATTTTTCTTTTTGAGAAGGGATGATCTCTTTAAACTCAACCAACCAAAACAGGATGCCGATTCTGTTTCCCCCTAGAAATCCACTGGGCATCTGAGGAATCATTTGCTGCCTGTGAGTCTTCATTGCCCAAGCTGCGAGTCAGCTCGCCAGCGATTCGGGCTGCTGCTGCGCCGCGTTCCACTTGGCAAACCAGATGCTGTCTCAACAAACGTCGTTTTGTTTTTGTGGTCCAGACACTCATGCTGGGCAAATATTTGGTGTCTTTTACAATTGCCCAAACAGTAAGAGCCAACATGCAGACATACTGTAGTGCCTTGAAAGGAAGAAACAGTTCCGGAAAAGATAAGAACGTGACACAGGAAACACATGTTTCAAAAGAAACAATAATCAAGACAAAACCGGAAAGCAACGCCCTGGTCACAGCCAACGTGTTGCTACGTTTTGGGGCCACAATAGTCTTGTTGTTTTGTTCTTTCAACATCGAGAACGCCCGACAGACCACAAGAATCCAATATTTCAAGGAGAATAGAGGGTAGCTCAGAGGTTTGCCTGACCGTTTTTCCAAAAACGCAGCCACGGCAGCCTTTTCGGGAGACCTCCACGGCGCCCCCTTGAAAGAGCGCTGCGCCAAGGTGGGCCGCGCGTTTGGACTTGCTGAACGCCAGGCGCGGCCCATGGCCCAGCCTCACGCTTTGGGCTTGGTGTTTTTGAGGTCTGCTCCACAAAGCCTCTTGCCCGTTTTCTAGCCACTGGGCATCTGAGTGGATATCTTCCATCGCAGTTTTCGCAGAAGCCTTCTAGAAACCCTCAGCTTTTAAGAACATATGCAAGGTTTGAGGTTTCTTTTTGGAATCCTGCCCCAGAGAGTTTCTAAGGGTATGACATTTGCTGGGCGGTTTTGTCAAACTCCCGTAGCACTCTGAGCCCGAGACGTCCAAATGGTCGCTGTACACAGGTGCGATTCAAATTCCTAGGGCTATTTACCAGGCTCGGGGGATTCGATTTTGTGAGCCAGCCTTTTGGCGCAGGACCCGAATGGACAACGCCAAAAGGACTGGTTAAATGGAAGCCAGCTCATCTGTGTGCCTTAGGTCGATGGCAATTTCAGAGAGAACTGCTGGTTGTGCTTTCTTTCTCCTCCCATTCTTTCCTGGATGTGTCTGTTGAGAGAATGCTTCGCGTAGATCACATGTGTTTTCTTCATCTTTGTCTTTGTCTTTCCCTTGTTCTATCTATCTCGATTTATCTATATCCATCCATTTGTCCACCTATCTGTCCCTGTAATTGCATCGACCGATCTACTGATCTATCTGTCAATACCTATCCATGTATCTCTCTTCATGCATTCACTCATTCGTTCGTTTGTTTGTTCGTTCGTTCATTCGTTCATTCGTTCATTATTTCATTTGTTCATTCGTTCATTCACTCATTCAATCATTCACTCATTCACTCATTCACACATTCACTCATCCATTCATTCAGCCATCCATCCATTCATTCACTCAGCGACTCACTCATTCACTCACTCGTTCATTCATTCACTCATTCATTCATTCATTCATTCGTTCGTTCATTCATTCATTCATTCATTCATTCATTCATTCATTCATTCATTCAGATTCATCAATACACTCATTCAGTCATTCACTCATTCACTCATTCACTCATTCACTCATTCACTCATTCACTCATTCAATCATTCATTCATTCATTCATTCATTCATTCATTCATTCATTCATTCATTCATTCATTCATTCATTCATTAATTCATTCATTCATTCATTCATTCATTGATTTATTGATTTATTGACTTATTGATTTATTGATTTGTTGATTTGTTGATTTGTTGATTAATTGATTAATTGATTCATTGATTCATTGATTCATTGATTCATTCATTCATTCATTCATTCATTCATTCATTCATTCATTCATTCATTGATTCATTCAGCCATCCATCCATTCATTCACTCAGCGACTCACTCATTCACTCACTCGTTCATTCACTCATTCATTCATTCATTCATTCATTCATTCATTCATTCATTCATTCATTCATTCATTGATTCATTGATTCATTGATTCATTGATTCATTGATTTATTGATTCATTGATTCATTGATTCATTGATTTATTGATTTATTGATTCATTCATTCATTCATTGATTCATTCATTCATGCATGCATTCATTCATTCATTCATTCAGTCATTCATTCATTCATTCATTCATTCAGTCATTCATTCATTCAGATTCATCAATACACTCATTCAGTCATTCACTCATTGTCACTCATTCATTCATGCATTCATTCATTCATTCAGTCATTTAGCCATTCAGTCTTTTAGTAATTGAATCAGCCAGCCTGTCTCAGTTTGTTTATTTGTTTGCCTTTGTCTGTCTGCCGCTGTCTGTCTGTCTGTCCCTCTGTCGGCCTTATCTGTTTCCCGCCTGACTTAATCTAATATGTCGATCCAAATATATTATATATATGTATATATATATACACATATATAATACATACATATATACGTATGTATGTGTTTATTTTGTCTTTATATGTTGCAATTCGATTGTTAGTTCCCCAACCAAGTTCATTCCAGCTCAAAGGGTGAAGCCCGTATATCTAGATGTTTACACAAATGCAAGGGCAAACAGTCACAGAAGCCCTGGGGTTGCCCGCAAGAGGACCTGATACTCTTCAATGTGACTGTTTTGGGTTCCTCGTTGAATAGGCAGTGTTATTTTGCCGGTAAACCATCCAGGCAAAAGACTGGAGTTTCCCCAGCTACATTAGAATAGGCTATGCTCAATCAAGTGCTGGAATCCGAGAGTAAGCCTTATCAATACTCAATTTGACAGGGCAATACTCAGCCAAGTACAAACTAAATGCAAGGAATTTGAGAGTAGGGCTTGGCAATACTGGCTTGGCAACGCTACGTTAAGTACTGCTCACTGGCAGTACTAAACTTAATTTGCTTGGAATGTGACAGTAAGGCTTGGCAATGCTAAGTTAAGACTTGGCAATACTAAAGTAAGCCAAGTCCCACTCAGACGCCTAGGATTTCGCGAAAAAGAGCTCGTTCCATTGTTGATCCTATCCCCTTCCGCTTTAGTTGCTGCCCGCGACACGCAAATTGCCTGGAAATGTCCTTCTCTGGGGATGCGTTTGACATGGAAAGATGTGCCCAAGGGAAGTTTGCCATGTTTTAGTTGGCACTTCTTGGCAGAACGATCGCTTGTTTACATTTTAGCGCCTGTGGTGCGCACGTGCCGGAACTCTGATGAAACTGGCTGCACTGTGACAGAACGGCTAGGTCGTTGGGCTATCATACTGTGAGTGGGCACTTGTCGTGTCGCAGTGCAATATGAAAGCATGAACTGCGCTGAACTTGGGCGCAACCGCGCAACCGGGCACAACCTGGAAAAGTGTTGCAACTTGCCGCCTCGAGATGCGCTTGACTTGCCGTTCTGCACCACAGAAGTGTTTTTCGTTTCAATACGTTTCCTGTTGAATTCAAAGGCCGGGCTTCCAGTCATGAGTCGGAAGTTGTGTTTCGAGCCGAATTTGAATGCTTGAGCATTTGGTCACAGCTCGGCCACTTTATGTGTGATGCACATTTTTCGGTAACAATTGGGATGTGCAGGTTTGGCCGTGACAAAAAGAACGAGTTCATGAATCTGGCGCTTTTGCTGTGAGGCCAACCTGTTTCAATTGCGACAAAAGGGAAACGAGCTGCTTTGTGTTTTTTTATTAGCTGGCGGAACCCCCAAAATGGTTTCGGTTTCCATTCTAGGATTTACTTTACAACCAACCTCTAACCCAAACAAAACAACGAAACCCTCCCCGCTGTGCTCAATGCTTAGGGTTTTACCCCCAAACGGCCCCCACAAAGCACACATGTCGAGGTGAGTGAACAGCAACAGCGCACGGAGCATCATGAGGCGCGGGGAAGAGATGTGGATTTGGGGAAGAACCAACGACTAACCGCCGGCCACTTACCACTGAAAGAGTTTGGGGTTTTGAGTTTCCGAAATTTGCGGACATCACATATTTTGAGGTTTCGCATGATGTCTTGGGTGTGTTTCTCAGTCCAATTTCAATGAAACCATTGCCGCCAGTTGTTGAGCAATGTGTCGTGTTCCTTGGATTGCCGCGTTGGGTCGCATGGTGGACCAGCTTGCTATGTGTGGCAGCCGCTGGCTCAACAGTCTTGCAGCAGTTTGCGATATGCTTTTCATATTGAGAACTGTGGCGATTTTCGTCACCTTGGTGGTTGCGCTGGCCCTGCGACCAGAGAACTTGCACCTCGAAGAAGTCCAAGAAGTGACTCTTGGAGAATAATGCGATCAAGCACTGGACGTATCCAAAACCAACCAAAACCCCATGCAGTTGGTATAGTTACCCCAGTTTTTTTCAGACAGTCCCACTGCACTGATGTCGTAGTTATGGGGTAGTTCAGGGCATGTGCTTGGGCGTTTCTTTGGTTAATCGCTTTTTGTGTGCGGACAGTTTTCAGCTTGGCTCCACATTCCACACGCCGTTTCATCATGTTAGCTCATCATCGTGAAAATGGTGCTGCAATGCCAAACAAGATGGTTTGCTTCATAGGCTGGCGGCGCCAGCCTATTTGACCCACGCAGAAACAGCTGCGTTGTTCTTGCCTGGAAAAAATCAGTTGGCGGGGGGAACATCTCAAAAATTTGGTTTCCTTCCGACGCCTGCGTCATGTTTTACAGCTCAGGCGTTCGATGCCCTGAGGTTTGCGACAAACATGGACGTGACAACAAAACAACTCATGGTGAAATGCAACAGCCTGTTAAAGCTCCAAATCAGTGAAGGCTGCTAAGGGTGTGTGGCAGATTACGATCAAGATCTATAGTGAATGGCTGACCACACCTGATGTGAACATATGTGTTGTATTGAATGCTAGGTAGGTTGGTGGCAAGTTGTAAATATCTTGACTGGCCCCTATTCTATCCCTTACCCACCTGGCGTACGGTGTTGGATTCAGTCTTCAGCGGCAAACCAAACAAAGCGCCTTGGGCTTATGGCATATTTCCGGTCGTGGTTGACCTGAAAGATGGTTCTCTTTGGGGCATCCGTCACCCATACCAACAGCGCTACACTCGCAGTGTCCCATATCTTCTGTAATACACACCGGTCTGAAGCTGATAGAAGCAGGCGCCGAACTCCTTCGAACAATAGCTTGGAACTGTAAAACTTGTCCTGCGCGTAGCAGCTTTTGACTTGGCCGCCATCGGTCCAGCTTCCCGAGGAGCGAGTGCCCGGAAGTCTGCGCGGCTGTCCCCGAGGCGCCCGGGTCCTACGCGGCCCACGGCGCGGACGCGCGGACGCTGCAACATAAGCTGCAGCCGGGGGACACGTGCCTTGGCGGTGACAAGATGGCGGTAAACTGGCTCGGTTGGAGCTGGGGATATCCAAAAGTTGCTTTTAAAGAAGGAGCTGAGCTACCAAGAGTTCTGGAAGAACGTGGTAGCACATTGGAACTGTTGGTAGACCCTAAGCGCAAGAGGCTAGTGGTAGTCCAACAGCGGCAAGGACTGGCTGGAAAGTGTTAATGAGGGTGAAGAACGGTGGTTGTCCTGCAATAGTTTCTAGCCGCTAATCAGAATCATTTGGGATGCTGCTTGGCAGTGGTTGAGAATGATTCATGGTGAAGAAGGGAGGGTTGGACAATGGTAGCAAGCTATACCGTCGTTGTTCAGAAGTGGCGTATGTGCTGCTTGCTTGTACTGATCTGGCGCTTGTTGAGGTACTTTGCTGGCAGCACTTGCGATTTTTTCGTGGCAAACGCTAGCGTTGTGCCATGGATACCTCCGAAGGACTTGCGGGCGGTGGTGTGTCGAAGCATTGTTCACAGACACCTTCATGATACTGGACGTGTTTTTGGTGGTCTATAGTTCGGTTTCGGCCATGTTTGTTTCTGCCCCCTGGCCGCTAGGAGGACCCCGTGACAAAGTCTTACATCGCTGTCTACATCGACCCGCTGCTTCTTGGACCCGCGACAGAGGGTCAGCTGTGCGCAAGTAGGCTGCTCGGCCGCAGGGAGTCAGGAGATGTCAACGGGGCGTGCTGCCAACTTGGATACAGCAAGCGCCAAAGTATAGACTCACCCGCACTGGCCGCCATCGCGGGATATAGTGATGACACTGGACCATTGGATGAATCCATGAAGTCTCAGTGTGATGTCAGACAAGGTGGCCCATTCGTTGACAAATTCATACTGAGCCAGGCATGTCTCGCTAAATGTTGATATTTGTTTTCCAGATCACATACGAATTAGGGCCGCGTGGTGGACCTGCAAGCCGACTTGCAGGATGAATAGCGACGTTTTAGCACGGAACCCACCAATTTCGATGTTTAGCTTCGACCCACCATAGTGCTTGGGCCCAATTGAGACCTGGCGCCCGTGGGCCAAATCCAGCGCCCCAGGAACAGCGCGGCCACTTGTCTTTGCCAACTCAGAGGGCATCAAGCTCTGGGCGTCGCTTGGCTAAATTGGCTTGGGATGACTGCGGAGTAGCGCGCCAACCAGTCCAATCTTGAAAGAATCTGGAACCCCTGCAGTAAACTGAAGTTCTGTCCTTGGTGTGTGCGAGAGATGCGAAAACCACACCATTCCAGGGCTCTCGACGTCGCGCGAGGTGTTGGGGGCCCTTGCGTCGGTGCTCCCGGCCTCCAAAAGCTTGCTGGAGTTGCAGCTGGCGATGCAACGCCGCTGCCCCGCCCCAGTGCCCAACCTGTTGGCCGCGACGGTGCTCACGCTGCTGGCGCTGGTGGCACTGCTGTGCGCCGAGGCAGCCTGGAGTTGGCGGAAGGAAGATGAGGAGTTGGAGCAGAAGGCGGCCAAGTCGGATTTGATCCACATCAAGCCGGCTTTTCAAAGCTTCAAGAGTGGCATTGGCCGCCCGGACACATTGATCCAAGCCCTGAATTAGATCCACTTTGAAGATTCCTAACTTACTTGAGTCAGATGTGTTAGGAAGAGCAGGAAGTCTTTGTGGGACCTCAAAGTTCCAGAGAGGAATGACATGATTTCCGAAGACGTTTGCTTGAAGGGGCGGCGAGATGAAACCTACCGCAAACTTGAAATAGCCAAACCCGTAGGCTAAGTTATGCTTAAAAGTGAAATTCCTTTTACTAGCACATTCTGGTGTTTCCAGAAAGTCTGCGACCTAGGCTGGCTGCTTGGCTTTGTGACATCCTTGTCCGCCTTGCAGACTGGAGCTTTGCTGGTCGTGGAGAAGTCCTGCGATGTGGAAGCTGCTTGGATAAAAGGCCCCGGTTACGGGCCCAAATCGGGCCACCAAGGACCGCGAAGTCCATGTGTACGTTTATGGAGTTGCATGTTGGATACGGGAGTGGTTGACGCGTTGAGTCCGAAAGAACTGCTGGCGCTCAAAATTCCTCCCCCCGAAGTCTAAACACACCACGGTCAGCAATGCCGACTGAAATCAACGCAGTGAGGCTGCAGTTTGGCTTGTGGCGGCTATGCCGGCATTCTTGGCGCTGGCAGCTGCCGTGCATTTCACCTCTTTGCTTTGCAAGCAGCAGCTAGTGCACGCGTACCTTCAACATGGGCAAATGCTTGTCGATTTGCCTGCAACCATCTATCTTGACAAGCTTCTCTTCCTTGGCCTTATCGTCTACGGCTTGCTGGTCGTCTTCTCGCTGGGCTTGGCTCTGGCGGCCCTAGCTGTCCCAGCACTTGCCGGGCCTTGCTGGGCCTTGCTGCAGTCTATTAATGCGAGCCGTGACATTGAGAAAATGCAGCACCTCGTGCTGACGGATCTTGGCAAACTGGGCCAAGGATCCCACCAAATTCAGATGTTGCCGTGGGTCTCCATGCTGGACGCAGCTCGAGGTGGACGTTCAGATCTTGGAGACACTATGACATCTGATGCGAAGCCGCGTCCTTTCAGGCCAGGTGGCATCACTTGGCATCGGCACCACCTCCGGCGCCTGACTGGATCTTCAAGTGGCTTTTTGGTGATCCCGGGCTTCTTTGGCGTCCTTGCCACGTCGTGGATCATCTCGGCAGTCCACATGGCAAGCTACGCCTGTGCCAAAGGCGAACTGACACATCTGCGGCTGGCAAGCTCGGACGCAGTGGTCTTTCAGCCCTGGCAGCCAAAGTACAACGCGGCCATGGATGTGTCTTTCCAGCAGGTGGCCGTGCAGGCCATGTCTGCGCCACCCAGCACCAGAAGAATCTCTTTCACGCAGCCTATGAAGCCTTCAGAAGCGACCGGGACGGTCACCAGCTACAGCATCGTGCAGTCGTTCAGCGCCCCCACCGAAGAGATCCAACTCTCACATCGCATGGTGCCACGAGTTGCGACCATCACGGCGGCAAGACCGCAAAGTATGTTGTTTTTGTGTTTGTTTGTCGTGGAAAAAACCAATCTTCGGCAGAAAATGGCAACGGGTGACTTGAAGAGGTTCAACGTTCAAAGGTGCCTATAACCTGTCAAAAAGAACTATGGTTGCGATCTTTCTTGAGGATAGGGCATGGTAAGAATGTCTCAATTGGATTGGATTTGTTTTTTGGTTGATGCGCTCCGATCACGTTGCGATAGGTCGAGGGCCTACGCTCCTCCTTACCCACCACTCGCTATGAGATTCGCTTCTCACCGCTGGTCACCCTCCCCGTTCTCCTACAGCTTACTGCGCCCAATTTCGCCAAGAAAGTGGCGTGGTCCACTCTGCCAGGATCCATTCTGAGTGTTCCAGCAGGCTGGACCGCGCGGGCGTTTCGGCCGTAAAGTCTCCAATCATATTCGACAATTGTGATTTGCTTTGATAATATGACTTGACTTACACGAAATAGTTTGACGTGATAATGCTAAGACTACTGCACCAAACTTGCAATGATGACTCGGCATGATGAGTGACTATTCGAGTCAGTTTTGCCATCACGGCTTCCTTGTGTGCTCCCTGTATTCTGGTCCCATGGACGATAAGGTGAGTCTCTGTCACAATTCGCATGTCCAGCATTCATCAATTGGTCTTCAAGAAATGATTTTTTGACCACAGCTTGCATTGTCCGAATTTAATTTTCGACCCATTTGCCGTGTGTGCCACGAGTGGCATGAACGTGGTGAGGCCTCGAGGAGCTGCAAATCGCAGTCTTCCTTGCGGACTTCGTGGTGGGCGTCCCGGAAGCTGATCCGAAGAATGTCCCGGCAGAGACGCTTCTGTGGACAGGTTTTGAGGCCAAGACCAACCAGAGTTGCGCGGACAGCTGCCGCCGCCACCCAAACTGCTTAACATCCTACGATGGCCATGACGCCGGCTGCTTCTTTGCATTCGGAAATCGCAGCAGCTTGGAAAATGGCACGGGCCCGCCCTTCAGACCAGCGCACGGCAGGAGCGTCAGAGGATGGATGCAGGGGTGCCGTGCGGCAGAGCCCAGTCAAGACCACTGCGCAGTGCCGGCCGAGGCCCAAGACAGCCTGAAGTTCAACGGTTTCTTGCCAGATTGGAGGTCTATGAGTGCATCTCTCGTCTTCGAGCTTCACATCGAAGCTGGGGAGCAGGAACATGATGCAGAGGTCACTACCATTGAACTCCAGCAGGGGCCGCCAATTCCCATTGATGTCATTGGAGTTTTGGTTGGGGACAAGGAAGGCGGAAGCGCAATATTGCTGAAGAGCAATGCATTTGTGGACACTGACCGGAAGATCACTGTGGAAGTCTCCGAATACCAACCGCTTGAGTTGAAGAACCTCAGACTCTTGCTGTTGCCTATACTTCCCGATCATGCCCCTAGGCTTTGAAGAAGAAACGCATGCTTTCAATTTGTGCCTTTCTTGCCGTTCGAAATGTGTGGATTTAAAAGCACATATCTTTCAATATTCACGAGTAGTCTTTGTATAGGTCCAAGCAGCGCCCGCTGCCCATGACACAAGCCAAGGACTTTGAGGTTCATTGGGGTTCCTTGGCGCCAGCAGCAGCAGAAGACCAGAAGTACTTCGAGAACAGCGCGAAATGCCGCAGCCCCTTGCTGCGATCCCGCTACAAGGTGTGCGGCGCCCCGCTTCACGGCCAGCTGGATGACCAGCCCCGCAAATTTGAGCTGAATCCGCTAACTGGGCAACCGGAGCAAGCCATGACCTTTGAGGTTTGGCCAAAAAGTCCCGGCGGTTGGGACTTGAATTCTGCCCCGCACAAGGTCGACATCCGTTTTGTTGGTGTCGACAGCCCCATTGCCTGGGCTGCGCGACGAGAGGGTTGCTCCACTTTGGAGAATGTGTCTGCTGCGGTCGCCGCATCGGCGGATGCAGCATGCCACCTCCTCCGGAACTACACAGATCCCTGCCGTCCCCTTTGCCAGTTGATGGACAAGCAGAGTTTCGGAGGCCAGTGGCAGAGTGGCAACTTTCTAGCCCCGCTGTTGAGCGAAAGGGGCTTGGCGCAGGCCATGTCATGCCACCTCGAGGCTTGCAGGGAAAATTACACATGGAGTTTCAGAGATGGCATTTTTTTTCTGGTGGGACACAGCGCGCGAGCATCATCCAAAGCCATCCTCGAGGTGGCCTCCAAGCCAGGCGGGCTGGAGTTTGTCAAGAACCTACACCAGGGCTTCAAGGCAGAGGCGGAGGAGGGCGAGAAGGCAAAGAGGACATATGAGGAGGTGCTGCGGAGCTTTGCAACGGAAGTTTGGACCATCCCTTTTGATGCTGCGACCGTCGAAGCTTTGGCTAGCTTTTCAGAAACTATGCCAAAGTTGTTGTTGAAGTATTGGGTCACTTCGCGTGGCGCTCTGCCGGAGAATGTCACGGAGTTCCGCACTCTGCAGGCACTGCCAATGTGAAATGTTTCCTTGATAGCGCCGTGGACTTACAAGGTACGTATTGTGTACTGCATGTTGTGCTTTCCAGGACGCAGTAATACAGAGTACCTCACTGTCGGTTGGCCTCGACTATCAATCCGGGGCGTTGCTTCGAAGACCGCATAAATCATTTGACTGACCTTCCAGGTTTGTTGGGGTCATACTATGTGATGTTTCGTTCAGGCTTCCCTTGTTCCCGAGAGCAGGAAGCCAACAAGCTTTTTCGCACAATGAGCACACACACACACACACACCGACGCATCTCGCATCTATGCATCGCACATCAACCTTCTACTCGTCTCTTTTTTGCATGTACGCATTCTACATCTATACATCTTGCGTCTACACATCGCACATCTTTCACGTCCGCGCATCTCACATCTACATTGGCATCTCTCATTTACTTGTTGACCGCTAATCAGAGGCCTCAGGCTGCGCTGCGCTATTATTTGCCTGTCACCGAGTTGGATTAGCTCACGCATAGAAATTCAGAAGCGAAATGATTACCGCAATGTCGTGCAATGTCGCCATGGTTGATTCATCTTGTTGAGTTGGGTCGCAGTGTTGCACAGGCGGCCTTCGACCCCGTGACGGACCTGCGCTTGAGCCTGACCGACCCAGCGCAGCTGGAGCGGGTGGCCGCCGCAGTGCCGTTGGCCCGGAAGCTGAAAACATTGAAGCTCAACTGCCCTGGTGCCTGGCCTTTGCCGTGGCCCAACTGGTGCGGCGGGGAGCGGCTCGAGGTGCTTGACATGGTCAACTTCAATTTGCGACGGGCCTTCGAGGCGCCGAGGCAAGGCCACTGCCAAGGAGGGCTCGCTCACGGCCTCACCAACCTGGAAAGATTAGACCTCGACAACAATCAGACCCAAACGTTGCCCAAGGAGGTCTTCCAGCACCTCACCAAGCTGAAAGCGTTGCGGCTGAGCCACAATCAGATCCAAACGTTGCCCAAGGAGGTCTTCCAGCACCTCACCAACCTGGAAACGCTGCGCCTGAGCCACAATCAGATCCAAACGTTGCCCAAGGAGGTCTTCCAGAACCTCACCAACCTGGAAACGTTGGACCTGAGCAACAATCAGATCCAAACGTTGCCCAAAAAGGTCTTCCAGCACCTCACCAAGCTGAAAGCGTTGTACCTGATCAACAATCAGATCCAAACGTTGCCCAAGGAGGTCTTCCAGCACCTCACCAAGCTGGAGAAGTTGGACCTGGAGAATAATCAGATCAAGACATTGCCCAAGGAGGTCTTCCAGAACCTCACCAACCTGGAAACGTTGGACCTGAGCAACAATCAGATCCAAACGTTGCCCAAGGAGGTCTTCCAGCACCTCACCAAGCTGAAAGCGTTGCAGCTGAGCCACAATCAGATCCAAACGTTGCCCAAGGAGGTCTTCCAGAACCTCACCAACCTGGAAACGTTGGACCTGAGCAACAATCAGATCCAAACGTTGCCCAAAAAGGTCTTCCAGCACCTCACCAAGCTGAAAGCGTTGTACCTGATCAACAATCAGATCCAAACGTTGCCCAAGGAGGTCTTCCAGCACCTCACCAAGCTGGAGAAGTTGGACCTGGAGAATAATCAGATCAAGACATTGCCCAAGGAGGTCTTCCAGAACCTCACCAACCTGGAAACGTTGGACCTGAGCAACAATCAGATCCAAACGTTGCCCAAGGAGGTCTTCCAGCACCTCACCAAGCTGAAAGCGTTGCAGCTGAGCCACAATCAGATCCAAACGTTGCCCAAGGAGGTCTTCCAGCACCTCACCAAGCTGAAAGCGTTGCAGCTGAGCCACAATCAGATCCAAACGTTGCCCAAGGAGGTCTTCCAGAACCTCACCAACCTGGAAACGCTGCGCCTGAGCCACAATCAGATCCAAACGTTGCCCAAGGAGGTCTTCCAGCACCTCACCAAGCTGAAAGCGTTGTACCTGAGCAACAATCAGATCCAAACGTTGTCCAAGGAGGTCTTCCAGCACCTCACCAACTGAAAACCTGAGCAACAATCAGATCCAAACGTTGCCCAAGGAGGTCTTCCAGCACCTCACCAACCTGCAAACGTTGCACCTGAGCAACAATCAGATCCAAACGTTGCCCAAGGAGGTCTTCCAGCACCTCACCAACCAAACGTTGAGATCCAAACGTTGTTCAAGGAGGTCTTCCAGCACCTCACCAAGCTGGAATCGTTGTACCTGAGCAACAATCAGATCCAAACGTTGCCCAAGGAGGTCTTCCAGCACCTCACCAAGCTGGAATCGTTGTACCTGAGCAACAATCAGATCCAAACGTTGCCCAAGGAGGTCTTCCAGCACCTCACCAAGCTGGAAACCTGAGCAACAATCAGATCCAAACGTTGCCCAAGGAGGTCTTCCAGCACCTCACCAAGCTGGAATCGTTGTACCTGAGCAACAATCAGATCCAAACGTTGCCCAAGGAGGTCTTCCAGCACCTCACCAAGCTGGAATCGTTGTACCTGAGCAACAATCAGATCCAAACGTTGCCCAAGGAGGTCTTCCAGCACCTCACCAAGCTGGAATCGTTGTACCTGAGCAACAATCAGATCCAAACGTTGCCCAAGGAGGTCTTCCAGCACCTCACCAAGCTGAAGACGTTGGACCTGGAGAAAAATCAGATCCAGGCGCTGCCCAAGGAGATCTTCAACAACCTCAAAAGCCTGAAAAAGTTGGATCTCGAGAGGAATCAGCCAGGTCTGGAGAGACCCGCTGTCTGCGAGAAATCGGAAGGTCTTTGCGTTGGGCCGTAGATAGGCCGGCCTGGCAAAGGCGCTTTAGGAGCTTTTGGAGTCTGCGAAAAGACGCTTACTGCAAATGTGGGCCTGTCGTTTTTGAGGGTAGCTCCTTGTTTGCGGGCTTTAAATCCAAAGAACAGCCCCCCCCCTCCCAGCAAGCAACTATACCCATGTGTTGGGCAACTGGGCAGCCCTCCGGTTTGTGTGAGAAAGCGGAGCGGGTTTGAATCGTGGTTCGATTATCCAAGCAGCTGTCGCCTGGCAAAGGAGGTTTGGCATGCGCTTGGCCTAGACCTTTAAATTACGATTAAGTTCCCAGAAGGTCTTGCTTAGGCCGGTTTGGTTGAAAATAGATGGCCCTGGCTTCAGCTTGGTTTTAATCAAATACCAACGCCGTCTTGTTTACAAAAGGTATGGCTTCTGCAAGCTCTATTTTTTGGCGTTCCAATTCCGTATCCACATCATCATCAGTCCGGAATGTCCCACAGGTTTCCCGGAGCATTTTAGACGACTTCGCAAGGATTTCATTCTTGCGCACGCTGTGGCTTCTGAACCAAATCGTTTCCAGAAAACGATCGTGTTAGAAAACCAGCACATGGAGCCATAGCTGTGCGCCATATGAGTCCAATCTGCCAGGCTCGTTCAGCGCAGAGCCGGACTCAGACTTCATGAGCCTGAGCCCGAGGGTTTGAAGATATAGCCGGAATTTTGGGAACATCGTATCAAACGCATTTGATTCTTGATTGCGAAGATTTCCCAAAATTGGACTATGGGCTGCTTGCGCGATTTGTTTGTTAGAGGTACGGGTGAAGTTGCTTTGATTTGTTTCGTGGTTATAGTGGGTTCGGTGTTTTCTTGGCTGGTTCCAAAACATGTTGTCTTTAAGGGGTTTCCTTTTTACGGTTCCGTGTCAGTGTTCCGACTGTCAACTTTGACCATGTTGCTTGGGGATCCGAAGGCTGTGAAGGGCAAGCGGTTTCCAAAATGTGGACTTGGTTGGGCGAGAAGTTCTACACTGAATGTTGTAATTGTATGACCAAGCTGTTTTGAGCTAATGTGAATGTTAGTATTAGTGTGAATGCCCTAAGAAAACAACAGTATAAGGCACATATGATTCAATGATAAGGTATAAAGTAGTATTTTTAATGGAACATAGTATAAGAGTATGTAACATAATGATTCGAATGCACAACCAAACAATGCAATCATGGTAGTTGTTCACTCTACAGTGGATGGACGAAATCCTGCAGCACGTTGAAACAATGGTAAACCACTGCTTGCTTGTATTTACGGGGCAGTCATCATTGTGGGGCTTCTTGGGTGGTGCAGGATTTCGTCCATCCACAGTATGTCAACGCTTCACCTCATCTATTGTTCAGTTGCAAAATTGTAAGCTAGGAGTTTTTATTTTAGGTGTTTGCTTTTAACAACAAATTAGAACTAAACATACAGCTGTTGTATTTTGGTATGTGTGCATTTGTGTGTTTGCTCTGTTGGTATTGCAAAAGTTCAAGGAACTCAACGTGTTTGGCACTTGTTTGTATGTTGCTACATGTTGGTGTTGATGGACATTTAATCACTTATATAATGTGTGTTGTATTATTCTGTGTTGGTTGCTGCAATTCAAAAACTGCCAACGCAAGTATATGACACGTTGATTGTGGCGACGTCTAGGGGGCAGCTATGCAAACCTACAACGGCTCAACCGGCGAATCGTTGCCAAGCAGGCTGCTGGAAGGCACAAGCCGTCCCAAGGCGCCAAGCTCAAGGCGACGGCCGAGAGGTCGAACGGCCCTCAGGTTTCATCGAGACGTAGCGGCGCCTTGCCACGTAGCGGCGCATGTCGGAAACAAACATTTTGAGCACAAACCCAGTTTCCTACAAACACGAGGGGCGCATCTCATATAAAAATAGTCCGCATGGCGATGTACGAGTTAGGATTTGCGAAACGCCTTTTTATGATTTGGGCTTCTTCCAGGCGCAGTCGAACAACCCAGATGTTTCACAACCAGAGGGGCAACCCGATGTACGAACTAGCTGTCCGCTTATTTGACGTACGATTCTTCACAAGAGGGCCTGGCTGGGCAGCCTTCAGGGCTATGCGCGGGGGGTCTGTGACACCTATGAGCCCGCTATGAAGTTTATCGAGCCCCTGGCCTTGAACCAAAACAGAAACGTGGGGATTTATGGTGGCCAGTTTGCGTTGTGTGTTCGCAATCATGTTTGTGATGTGCGTTTGCGTTTGTAAGTTGCATGTGTGTTTGCACTTGTGCCTGAACATGCGCACATGGACTTAAAGGTCCGTCCTTGGGGCGAGGTTCCACTAGCGCGGGGCTCTTCATTGCTTGGAGCGCAGGGTGGTTTTTAGGCACAATAGAAATTTACACATCGTTGTTGCACAAGGGCCAGTAGCCCATGCAAATCATAGAGGCCCTGGTGTTGGGGCCAACTGCAGGCTTTGAGCTCGAGCTGAACGCCTCGAGTGACCCGGCCTCAGGTTTGGGCTGTTGAGGTTTGCTCCTTCCCTGTGGACTTTTGGGGCACCAGTTGAGTGGCAAGATGCTGGCCAACACCCGTGTTGGGGATCGCAACGCGAACCCGGGACCCCTGGCTGGGAAGTCGTCTTGTTTGTGTGTGTTCCGTCTCAGCTTGCCCTTCTTCTAGCAGGCATCACGCTGAGGCTACAGCGAACATTCAGCTTTGCACGGTGTATTTGTATGTAGTATACTATAGTATATATATATATAAATACGTATGTAGAACTATATGCATTGTCCCCCCTTGAGCGGTTCTCAGAGCCCTTCTACAATCCTTCAAAGGGTTTTAAGAACCTTTTTATGCGTGGGGCGGCCTTAGGTTTGCCTTTTGGAACCAACTTTGCCCAACGATGGCGCACCAAGGCATGTGCTGGTTTTAAAACCATCTAAATGGGGCACATGTGCGCAGAATGGCAAGGGCGTGCAAACCAATGGAGAATGGAGCACCTTTGGTACATCACTTAATGGAACACCCCTTGGTACGTCCCTAAAAGTGGCGCTAACAACTTTTGAGGACAGGCTAATGGATTGGCCCAGGATCTTGGAGTACTTCCTGAAGCCCATCGCCCTGCAGGCGACGTCGCGAGGCGAAGTGGATGCGCTGGTTGTGGGGGGTGTGGGTGACTGTGAAAATGGATAGCTTTGTCTTGTCTCCAAGCGGTTTCCCGCCCTTTTTGTTGTTTTCGCTGAATTCCAGTTTGCGGCTTTACCCCCAAAATCTCCTTCAAAGCACACCTGTCCAGGTGACTGCAAGCAGCATCATGAGGCGCACCAGCTGCGGATTGTTTTTTTAGCTGGAATTTCCTAAAACATATTGTTGTTTTTATATAAATTATAAAAGAACATGTTTTATTTGATATAATAAACATTTGACAAAATAATGAAATTATTGCCTCATTCAAACCTTTTATAAAAAAAGCGAATATTTAAAATTAGGGGGGATATGGGACTTATTTATCGTTTAATAATTTGATAATGGTTTTGAAAAAAATACGGAATGGATATAGAGAAATTGGAATTGCGGGTTTGATTATATTTATAAGCTCTTTGTTAGTTTGGTTTTTGGGAAATAGGATAAAAATATAGAGAATATAGAGAAATTGAAAGGATCATAATGAATTATAATTGAAATATGATTTTTTAAGGAATTGAAAATTTTATAAATACATAATTCAGGGAATATAATAAAGAAATGAAGAATATTTAAAAAATGAAATATTTTGAATAATGAAATAATTGAATATATAGATTGAAAGAATGGAGGTGAGTGGTAGATAATTAATATATAATTGAAAAACATATTATATAAATGTATTTTTTATATAGATAAAATATATTTTAATTTAAATAAATTTAATTGATAATAAAAATAAATATTGGAAATTTAAATTTTATAATTTAAAATTATACAATTATAATTATGGTTTATTATGTTTGCTCAAGCTATTTTGGCTAAAATATTGGCTTGAATGTTGTTGGTTGCTTGTTTTTTTCTTTGTTGGTTTTGATGTTGGTGTTTTTTGGGTCGTTTTTGGTTTTGGTTTGGTTGGCGTAGTGGGAGCTCCGTATAGGTGGATGATGGGGGTAATATAAATGTTATATTTCTGGATAATATAGATGAAAATAGTATTTGACAAACAATTCTTCGGAGGTCGGGTTTAGACAAAATAAAACAGAAAAAACAATAATTCGAAGAAGAGCAAACACGATGGGGACCGATTTTGATAATAACGACTAACCGTATACACAAGCATGATGCGCTCGCCCTCCTGGTTGGCAGCTGCAGATTGTCTATTTGCGCATAAGCTGTGCCCTTGCCCGCCCCAATTCGCTTTTCAGACACACGACCTGTAGGCGACGACCACTCTGCGCTAGTTCCGTCCTAGCATGTTTTGCCTTATGCTGTCCCCGACTTATTTTGGTTGACCCATCATACCCCGAATTCGATGAAATATAATGAGGAAATATGATGGGAACTCCCGCGACGCCACATGTAGGGGGTGCCTGGGTTCGATCAGCAAATTTCCGCTTGAATCCCCGAGTAGCTGAATTTGCGTTGCAATGCATTCCAGCCCGCTTGCGAGCAAGGTGGGCCCAGGGTCTCAGTTGTCGACCCGCCGCGGCGCGAATGTGGATGGATATACTCCTTGAAATCCCCTACCACCGTCCTGCCCTGTGATCCTGGGTTGGCTTTTTTTAAACCTTGAAAGTTTTGGCTCGGGACCTACCAGCGGTGAACTAGTGACAGCAGACACCCGAGACCTCGTTACAAGAGCCATGGACACCAGAATCTTTGGGAACCCCATCGAATTGGGGGAGCGCTGCCGGGGAGTTTTTCGGATCACTGGCAACAGCAGCAGGGGCCATCACAGCGCAATTCGCCTTCACGACAGGGTGTCGGTTACAATTTGCGGTGCAGTTTTGCTTCAGTGCGTGGTTTCCATCTACGACGTTGCGATACAGACAGTACAGCCCTCGCCGCCACTCCTGCTCGGCGAACTCTCTTGGAGGACCCCAGCCCCA